AAAAAAAAAGCTGAAGGCATCATCCTACCTGACTTCAAACTGTATTACAAGGCTATAATAAACAAAGTCAAAACAGCATGGTACTGGTACCAAAACAGGGATATAAACCAATGAAACAGACCAGAGGCCTCAGAAATAATACCACACATCTACAACCATCTGATCTTTGACAAATCTTACAAAAACAAATATAGGGAAAGGATTCCCTTAATAAATGGTGCTGGGAAAACTGGCTAGCCATATGCAGAAAGCTGAAACTGGATCCCTTCCTTACACCTTATACAAAAATTAACTCATGATGTATTAAAGATTTAAACATAAGACGTAACACCATAAAAACCCTAGAAAAAACCTAGGCACCACCATTCAGGACATAGGCATAGGCAAGGATTTCATGACTAAAACACCAAAGGAAATGGCAACAAAAGCCAAAATAGACAAATGGGCTCTAATTAAACTAAAGAGCTTCTGCACAGCAAAAGAAACTATCATTAGAGTGAACTGCCAACCAACAGAATGGGAAAAATTTTTTGCAATCTACCCATCTGACAAAGGGCTAATATTCAGAATCTACAAGAAAACTTAAATTTATAAGAAAAACACAACCCCATCAAAAAGTGGATAAAGGATATGAACAGACATTTCTCAAAAGAAGACATTTATGCAGCCAACACACATGAAAAAATGCTCATCATCACTGGTCATTAGAGAAATGCAAATCAAAACTACATTGAAATACCTTCTCACGCCAGTTAGAATGGCAATCATTAAAAAATCTAGAGACAACAGATGCTGGAGAGGATGTGGAGAAATAGGAACACTTTTACATTGTTGGTGGAAGTGCAAATTAGTTCAACCATTGTAGAAGACAGAATGGCAATTCCTCAAGTATCTAGATCTAGAAATACCATTTGACCCAGCAATCCCATTACTGGGTGTATATCCAAAGATTTATAAATCATTCTATTATAAGGACACATGCACAAATATGTTTATTGTGGCACTGTTCACAATAGCAAAGACTTGGAACCAACCCAAATGCCCATCAGTGATACACTGGATAAAGAAAATGTGGCACATATACACCATGGAATACTATGAAGCCATAAAAAAAGGATGAGTTCATGTCCTTTGCAGGGACATGAATGAAGCTAAAAACCATCATTTTCAGCCAACTGACACAAGAACAGAAAACCAAGCACTGCATGTTCTCACTCATAAGTGGGTGTTGAACAATGAGAACACAGGGAACACAGGGAGGGGAACATCACACACTGAAGTCTGTCGGGGGCAGGGGACTAGGGGAAGGATAGAAAGGGTTGAGGGGTTTAGAGGAGGTATAGCATTAGGAGAAATACCTAATGTAGATGTGCAGCAAACCACTGTGGCACTTGTCTACCTATGTAGCAAACACGTACATTCTGCATACGTACAAAGGAAGGAGGGAGGGAAGGAAAGGAAGGAATGTCAACATCACCAATTAACAGGGAATTGCAATTCAAAACTGCAATGCAGTACTACCTTCTGCAAGAATGGCCATAATCAAAAAATCCAAAACAGTAGATGGTGGCAGGTATGCCGTGAACAGGGGACACTTCTACACTCCTGGTAGGAATGTAAACTAGCACAATTACTATGGAAAACAGTGTAAAGATTCCTTAAAAAACTAAAAGTAGAACTACCATTTGATCCAGCAATCCTACTATTAGGTATCAACCCAGAGGAAAATAAGTCATTTTATGATAAAGATTCTTACACACGCATATTTACAGCAGCACAATTCACAATTGCAAAATCATGGAACCAACCCAAATGTCCAGCAATCAACAAGTGGATAAAGAAACTGTGGCATATTTATACAGTGAAATACTAGTCAGCCATAAAAAGGAATGAATTAACAGCATTTGCAGCAACTTGAATGAGATTGGAGACTATTATTCTAAGAGAAGGAACTCCAGAATGGAAAACCAAACATCTTATGTTTTCACTAGTAAGTGGGAGCTAATTATAAGAATGGTACAGTGGTCTTTGGGGACTCGGGGTGGGAAGTTTGGGAGAGGGGTGAGGAATAAGGACTGCAAATATGGTGCAGTGTATACTGCTTGTGTGATGGGTGTACCAAAATCTCACAAATCACCACTAAAGAATTTATTCATGTAATCAAATACCACCTGTACCCCTATAATTTATGAAAAAAAAGAAATGGGTATAAAGCACCAGGAAAAAATATATATAAATTTATTTATAAAAAATAAAACCTTTGAGAGAAAAAAAGTCATAAATTTGAATAATGGTACTTATGAGTAGACTGCCTTGTGCCTAGTATGCTTATATATGTCCATTGGTTCACTTCTATCCATCCTCTCACTGAACAAGGTAGGAGAGAGATACAAACATAATTTTTTTTTTTTTTTTTGAGACAGGGTCTCACTCTGTTGCCTATGCTGGAGTAAAGTGGTGCAATCTTGGCTCATTGTAGCCTCAACCTCCTAGGCTCAAGTGATCCTCTTACCTTAGCCCCTAGGTGGCTAGGACAACAGGCATGCTACCGCTGCCAGCTAATTTCTATATTTTTTGTAGAGATGAAGTTTCACCATGTTGTCCAGGCTGGTCTTGAACTCCTGAGCTCAAGTGAGTCACCCACCTTGGCATACATACTTCTGGATAATTTTATTTAAAATAATTTTCTTGAGGGATTGAAAAAATTTAGCTAGAAATTAAAATATCTATTCAGCAAAATCATTTGGGTTGCTTTTATACCACTTTACTTTTAAGACATAAGCAATATCTTATGTGTGCCATGCTAATTTTCCCACTTTGAATATTTGCTGAGTTATACATTTTTTTTTGTAAAGTTTTTCTTAGGGTTCTAATACTCAGAGCCAAACTTTTGATAAGTTTAATATCAAGATTACTTAGGGTCTGCCTTTTAAAACAGAAGCATGCCAAAAAAAAAATAAAAAGAAAAAAGAAAAAAAGGATTCCATCCTAGAATGTCCAGGAGAACAGTAAAGGCTGCAGAGAAACTACATGAAGTGAGGCGTGAAGAGAAGCTATTTCAGGCCTTTTGACTTGAGGGCAGATCATATGCATTCAAACTAAAAGATTTTTTCAGGTGTAGAGATTTTTAACAATAGAAGCTGATGATCAATGTAGGGGGAAAAAGCATGCTTTATCACCTTTTTTGGACCAGACCAATTAGACCTTTCATTTTTCATGTAGTCTTTAAATAAATGCATATATTCCATTTTTTTCTTCCACATCCCCTAACAATTATTTTGATTTCCATGATTTGAGTTGCTTTCTGAAAAGCTTTTATGAAGAGTTGAAAAGAACTGGGAACCATACTGTTCAATGAGTGATAGAAATATTCATAGGCCATGTACAACATAATAAAAGGAAATTGATCTGTTCACTTAAAAAATCTAACCCCATTCCTTTTTTCTGGTCATTAAGCATCAGAATTGTGGCTGTCTATATTTGAGGGCTTTTGGTCCCTCATCAAATAGAGCATGATTTCTCTAGGCAAGGCATGGCATCTTCCACCACTTTTTGATACAATATCATCTATAATATTGAAAGTACAAAAGTCCATTCATAATACACTTTAATATATCAGTTAAAGGAGTATTTGATAGATTAGATACAAACAACATTGCTTATTCTTAGTTTGAAATGCCTAAAAATAGAACATATACACTCATGTCAACAATATTATTATTTGAGACAAAGTCTTGCTCTGTTGTTCAGGCAAAAGAGCACCATCTGTTGCACCATCTTGGCTCACTGCAACCTCACCCTCCCAGGTTCAAGCAATTCTCTTGCCTCAGCCTCCCAAGTAGCTGGGATTACAGGCATGTACCACCACGCCTGGCTATTTTTTACATTTTTAATAGAGACTGGGTTTCACCATGTTGGCCAGGCTGGTCTCGAAATCCACCCACCTCAGCTTACCAAAGCACTAGGATTACAGGCATGAGCCACTGCACCTGGCCAACAAGATATTAATCTTAAGATGTGTATTGTGAGTAAGGAGGGTACCATCAGAGTAGGCAAGCATTCGGCTTATCTAAATTTGCCTCAGGGTTCCTCAGCTTTGGGTGCAGAGAAGCAGTCAATGTGAGTGACCTGGAGAAATTAAAGTGAAATGAGAGCTAAGGAGAAAAGATAGATATTGACTGTGAAGACAGATTTAGGGAAGTGGGTGAAGAAATGGTGAATAGAGTAGATTGAAAAGAAATGGAGTACAGCAATGGGTAGACAGGCTTGGAATGGTGAAGCTATGGCTCAGAGGAATTTTTAAGACCAATCTGAGTATATTTTTACATGAGGAGAATATGGATAATCACTGTGTACCTTGTTCAGCCTTTATGGAATATACAGGATTTCATATACATTCATTAGGTACATTTCTGGGGTCACAATACAACTTAGGGAACATTTTAGTTAAGTCTCCATAAGACATAGATAGCAATGTTGCATGCAATGATATGTCATGATTTTGAATATGAGGTTAAATGACTGAAAATACTATCTCAGAAGTTCTTATTAATTTGAATTAAATAATTAATACTTAAAATATTTATATACTCACCCAACGGACAGGAAAGGTTCCTTTGATTCAAGTCTATGAAAAAATATGAAAATATTCTTTTAATATAACTATTTGCTGTATATTAAAAATTGCTTTTACATGAACCTGGCAGAATTGTTATACTTGTTTGGATAAAAATACATAGTTAACACCAGTAAAAAGCTATGAATAATATATTAAGACCTAATCTGGACTAAGTCAATTTGCACCTGGATTAATGCAGAAGCTAAATAAAATGAGAGTCTTGAAATGAGGGCATAGCATTTAAGTGCTAGGTTAAGATGATTATATTATTAGTCTAATTCTGATTTGTGCTCTCTGTATCTACTCATTTTCTTTATTCCTGGTAATTTTTAGAAGTTTTTATACATCTATTTGTGGTTGTTGTAATAGTGAAATAATTTGTAATGTACTTGTTACATGTTGGCTGAATAACTGATTTATTCAGAACACAGAAGCAGCATACAATATATAGTTATTTATTGGTCTTAACACCCCTTGGGGTGGGGACTGTGTCAGGTCACAGATTTGGGTTGATCTGCCTCCTTTGTGTCTTCTAAAAACTGGGTATTTTCTGTACCTCAGTATCTCAAACAGAAAGTCTAATCCTAAGGGTTGTAGTTCACTTGAGAAAGCCACTTTAAAACATACTCTGTGCCTTCTTTTTCTCAGTATAAAATGGGCTAGGCTTACTTCCAGCTACTTTGCTGATTTCATAAATTAGCTTTCCATTTTTTATAAAATGTAAGTGGATCAGGAAAGAATCCACTTGTAAATAGTTCCTTGTTAATAATTAAGGAAATCTGTCGGTAAGTGTATTTTGGCCACACTAGTTTCGTTGTAGGTGTCTTAAGATACAATTAAGGGTTAAATGTAGGCAAATTGAAGATACTTTCAACTAAATCCTGATGTTTAAGATTTTTGAAAAGCATGATTGAAATGACTATCTTAGTATTAGGCTAAAAATTTGTTTTTATAAATATGAGTCTAAACAGTGAAGGCAATAATTACTATTTTGTCTCTATTTCATTCTGTGTATGTAAAAAAATTGCTTATGAGAAGTATGCTTTGGTGCATTTATAGGCAGAGCTGACATGCATCTCTGCCGCATATCATGCTGCTTTGAGTGAATAATAATCATAGCAGGAAAGGGGCTTTTTTAGGGAGCAAATGCCTTAGCAATTCCTTTGGACAGCTCCAGGTAGGGTAGAAGCAGATAAAACCAATAGTTGGTGCTAAGAGTTTAGAGAGGTTTATTTATGTCACCTTTTCTTTTCTGAATTCTGGTATTATTCACATCTCTAACTGTAGGTACATTAATTGACCTGTTGTGTTTGTTTTTCTCATATATTTGTGATCTACATAAGCAAACAGAACTAGGGAGGGAAAAGCTGAAGATAAATAATGAAAAATGTTTGGATATATTTGCTTTATAAGACATGACCAGTGCCAAGTGATCAAAAGGAAATTACTTTGAAGAAACGAGGGGGATTCTATATAATATGATGCAGGAGATTGTTCACATATTAGACCATCAGCACCATAATGATACTACTTTATTTTCCATCTGATAATACTTGTAATAAAAAGAGCATGTGGGCATTAATGGGATCCCTTCTCTCTGTATTTGCCAATAATTTCAGCCTAACATTTATCAGATAGATGTTAGTGTATGTGTGTGATTTGCTTGTGTGAAGTGCTACCCTCCAGCCTCCTATGTTCCCCATTTTCTGCACGCTACATTATCCTCCTTGTCTCTCACTGCTGTGTGAATACTATAATGGGAATATTTTAAAACATTTTATATCTTTCTCTTCTCTCTTTTTCAGCCTCCATGTCTCATTAGTTAGCAAGTCCCATCAATTTTTCCTTTAGGACTCTCCTGTCCCCCTCTCTGCATTCAATTCCCAGGCTGCTTTTCACTAGTTACCTCAGCCTAGCTAGTGTCTCCAAAATTCTTTGTTCAAAGCCACTTCAGCTTTACACACTGCTTTCACACTAAGCTTCCATCAATGCTGCCACTCACTCCCTTTGGGCAAATACTGCATTGCACCACTTTAGGGTGGCATGAGCAACTTGAATAAAAGCAAAGCCCATCACTTTTGATTTTTCCCTCTGCAGTTATCAAAATGCTTAGTTCAGAATGTGCTTGAAGTAGTAGTTATTGATTTCTCTCTCTCTCTCTTTTTTTAAGGTTTCAGACAAGCAGCCGTTGGATTAGAGCATACAGGGACATATGTTGTCCTACTGCCCCCTGTGGTTAATATGATTAGTCTGACTTGTTAGTTACTAATAGTTGTCCCCTTCTACCACTTTAAGCCCACTGCAACCAGCTCCTTCCAAATGCTCAAGAGAAGACTTCAGAAGAAAATTCAAAGTTTTCAAAATAATGTTGGATTGAAAGTTCTGACTGATGTTCTATAAACCAGGAGTTTGCAAACTCTGGGCAAATCCTGCTCACCCTCTGATTGTGTATAGCCCCAAGCTAAGAATGGTTTTTACATTTTAAAGAAGCTGGAAAATAAAAGAATAGTAGTATTTGTGACACATGAAATTCAAACTTCAGTGTCCATAAATAAACCTTACTGAAACAGAGCCCTGTGACTTCATTTACATATTGTTTAAGGCTGCTTTTGTGCTATGGCAACAAGTTGAGCAGTTGTGCCAGAAACTGCATGTCTAAAATCCTAAAATATTTACTACATGGCCTTTACAGAAAAAGTATGCCAATGTGTGAGATACAATTATTTCGTTGGAAGGAACTGGAAACAACCTTCTAAAATAGGCTTTCTTTACTTTCAATACATATCAAGATATTTTTTCCCAGATTTAGAAATTCAGAATAACTTGAATTTTTTCTCTACGTCATCATTTCAACCACTGATCCTACTGACATATTCACCTAAAATATTGCTTTTATGTCACCAGTTTTCTTGATGATCTCATTAACCATAAGATGGTACCCAAACTTTTAAGCTCTTCACAAACATGCCCAAACCAGTTTTCCATTACTGCTTCTCTAACTAACACTTCATTCCAGAAAAACTAAATATTGTCCAGACACATCTGATTTGGCTTTGCTTTGGTACACTTAGCATTCATTATATTTCTGCACTAGAATGCTGTTTCCCCCCATGCATGATCTATTTATCATTTAAATTTACTCCCTTCTTAAAGTAACTCCCTTCTTAAAGTCGATCCTGATACCTTCATTTTACAGCCCATCTCTGAGGTACTACTTATCATCATCACTATGACATATTCTCTGAACAGTATTATTCAATTAACTCGTACTGTTTACAATAGCAAAGACCTGAAACCAACCCAAATGCCCATCAATGATAGACTGGACAAAGAAAATGCGGCACATATACACCACTATGGAATACTATGCAGCCATAAAAAACAATGAGTTGCTGTCCTTTGCAGGGACATGGATGCATCTGGAAAACATCATTCTCAGCAAAGTGACACAAGAAGAGAAAACCAAACATCACATATTCTCACTCATAGGCAGGTGTTGAACAATGAAAACACATGGGCACAGGGAGGGGAACATCACCTACTGGGGTCTGTTGAGGGGTGGGGGAGTAGGGGAAGGACAGCTAGGGGCAGGGAGGTTGGGGAGGGATAACACTGGGAGAAATGCCTGATGTAGGTGACGGGGGGATGGAGACAGCAAACCACCATGGCATGTGTGTACCTATGCACCATTCCTGCAAGATCTACACATGTACCCCAGAACTTAAAGTATAATAAAAAATAATTTTTGTATTCATTATCTGAATATTTTGGATCTATTGCGTTAAGAAAATATATCAAAATTAATTAAACAAAACTGAACTTAGAGTCTCATAAGAGTGGTAAGAATATTAAACCTGTACTCTGCTTAGACAAGAGACTTCCAACAGTTCTGTGTTAAGCCTTCTGATGGGCCTAGAGGGGAGAGTGTTGCTGATGGTTCATAAACTGAGCTGAAAGAAAAGATTATTGGTCCAAGCCATAGATGATAAGTCTAAGGTACCGGGACTCCCAAGTGTCTTCTGTGGTGAAATAGAGCAGGAAATCTTGGTGACGTGCCACCATCAGGCCATCCTACTCTGTGTCTCACTGCAGAGCAGAGAGATAAGTGACTCGTGTTGAATGATGTTCTACTTTGAAACCAACTGCTCAGTTGTGGTTCATTACATTGAGGCAGACTCCCTAGACTTGGAATGATTCAGGGACTCTGAATAACCTCATTTATCTCAATTATATAGTAAACATCATACCCGACTCAATAAGTTTGGGGGAAGATTATGAGATTTTGTATTCAAAACATCTAGGACAGTTCTCGGCAGAGTGGATCCTGATGGTCATGACTATACCAAAGAGAGGTTGTTAACTCTGAAGTCTGAAACTGCTTGGATGTATGAATAGATCATTTTAGTAGTGTTGGCCCTGTAAGCTGGAAAAAAAAGCAAAAGAAGAAAACTCCTAGGAGAAATATTCCTTTGTAGAAAATTATTTATCAATTTAATCAATAGAAACATGATTATATTGTGATATGCCTACAGAGAACTTTCTAAGATTTTTTTTACAAGGTAATTGTTTCATGAAGAAAGGGATTGATTTTATCTTTCCTAAGATTTTATGTGAAATAGGTAGTGAATTTAATAATACTTCATTCAAGACCCACTAGAATTAGGAGTAGAATAAGATAAACAAATGACAGCCTTCAGAAAAAAATGAGACATAGTGGAGAAATAAAATAGAATAAAGAATGAAGGTCAATATTTGGAGCTAAATGAATTATAATACTTTGTATTTAATAAAAACTAAATTTAAGGCCAGGTGTTATTCAACATTCTTTATAAACTCTAATTTATTTAAATATCATGATACAATCTGAGGTAGTTCTTATTATATAGATGAGGAAACTGAGACCACCAGTTATTAAATACATTGTCCAAAGTCACACAGCTCATAAGAGGTTGAGCTAGGATTTGAATTCAGACATTTTAACTCCAAAGTTCACGTGCCATCTCTCTATT